CACTAACAGACATTCACCCATTCACACACTGATGATGGTGAACACTGTAGCCACAGCTGCCCTGGGGCACACTGACAGAGGTGGGGCTGCCATGCATCGGTGCCACCGGACCCTCTGACCACCATCAGTAGGCAAGGTGGGTGAAGTGTCTTGCCCAAGGACACAACGACTGAGACAATGTGAGGCATTTTGATGTTATCGCCCCCTGCCTCCCAGATTAGGTATTGCGCTAATCATCCTCACTTGCACTAAGTTGGCTCATCACCTTTCCTGGCTTTATAAGGAAGTGCTGGAGTGCATCTCATCGCAGAAGCATCGCCTCTGTTGGGGATGAGCTCAGCCTGCTACTTGTTGTCTCCTAGAGAGTCTTTTTTACCTTTGTTCCTGTGCTTGCTTGTTTTCAGAAAAGACCTCCAGCACCTTAACCCCCGCCTTGGAAACCGAGCCAAACTCACCTGGATCTCATGCGCTGCCTCCAACGTAACCCTGTAAATATGTCTGCACTTGTAAAAAACTCACCTGTGGAACTTCACCTGTTGGACCTCCTCCTCCAAGTTTCATATCCTTCACCAACCTGTAAGCCTCATCTTCAAATTATTAACTGCTCAAAACCATACCGGAAAACCTACCTGTTATTCATCTCTGCAAAACCTCTGTTTCAGGTCCCGTCCCCAGATCCCAGCACCGTTGTAAATAAAATCACTTACTTTTTATATTCTCTGTCTCAGTCTCTGTTTCATCATTGGTATTTGCTCACGTCGACCTTCATCTGAAAATCTGATAGAATGCTTCAGCCAAGCCATACGTCCGTGAGCAATACTTCTGATAATCAGACACTCGGTGCTACAAGTCAACCCGATTCCAAAACAATTGATCATGACCAAAATTAAACCAGTTATACGCAGCGCAACAAGAAACTCGTGCATTATTAGGTCAAATTACACAGCATATCTCAGCCCTTGATAATAAATTAAACACTTTTTTTTCCTGTTAATCCTGTCATTCCCCCAGCTGCCACGCCCCCTCCATCTGTCATACCTCCTAGAGAAGCAGGCATCCGTCCCTCTGAATTTTTTGATGGGGACATAAATCAGTGTGCCGGATTTTTTGCTTCAATGCCGGTTAGCTTTTGCTTGTTCCCCTTCGTTTTTTCCCACTCATTCCGCCCGAGTTACATATATTGTTTCTGCTTTAAAAGGGAAAGCCCTTAGATGGGCACAAGCATTTTTGTCTGCTCATTCATCCGACACTCTCACATCCCAGTTATTCATCCAAGAGTTTCAGCGTGTGTTTGACCATCCCCTCCAGCAGGAGGAAGCAGCGAAACTTTTAATCAACTTACGACAAAGAATTAAATCTGCAGCGGAACACTCTGTGGATTTTCAAATCATTGCTGAGGAGGCTGGTTGGGAGGAACTCGCCCTGAAAGGTATTTATGTTAATTTTTTATCCGAACAACTCAAAGATCAATTGGCTTCCCGGGATGAACCCGGAAGCTTGGATGAATTAATCACCTTATCCATACAAATTGATAACAGATTAAAAGAACGAAAGAAGGAAAAGAACTACACYTCCCAGAATCCTCGAGTTTCCTGTTTCTTCGTCAGTGGTGAGTCTCCGCCTCCTCCTACAACAGCTGTTATCAATCACGCTGAACCCATGCAGATTGGACACACTCGTTTGTCTCCTGAGGAGAGGCAAAGATGTTTCACAGCCAAACTTTGCATCTATTGTGGCAACAAAGGACATTTTGTTGCAACCTGCCCGCTGCGGGGAAACGGGTTGTCTCGTCAGTTAGACCAGGGGAAACTGACGAGACAAGACAATTTCTCTCCTAACTCTCTGTTTTTTCTTCCTGCTACGCTGGTTTATGGACAAACTAAGCTACCTATATCAGCCCTTGTGGACTCTGGTGCAGAACAAAACTTAATCTTGAGTGACTTAGTAGAACAACTGGAACTTCCTATCTCACCCCTCAACCCACCATGCTCCATCGCCGGTGTCACTGGACAACTTTTGTCTCAGGTCAACAGACTCGTCCCCAGGTTACACATCATTGTGTCTGGCAACCATCATGATCTGGGTGAGTTTGTTATTTTCAATTCTACCTCCCCACAACTCATTTTTTGGTTATCCGTGGTTGTCTCTACATAACCCCACTATAAATTGGAAAGAAAAGAGGATTGAAAATTGGAGCACCTTTTGTTTACAACATTGTTTAAAGTCGGCTGTATCAGTCTCCGTTAAAGGGGAGGAACCTGTGGAAACAGCTGATTTATCCACTGTTGAACCTACTGTTTTATCTTCAGTTCCTGAGGCCTATCATGACCTGGCATCTGTTTTCAGTAAAAACAAAGCACTTTCATTATCCCCTCACCGACCGTATGATTGTGCTATAGATTTAATACCAGATTCACCATTACCATCCAGTCGCCTTTATAATCACTCTGGCCCCGAAAAGGAGGCCATGAAAACATACGCTGATGAATCATTAGCTTCTGGTATCATTCGTCCATCCAAATCTCCTCTAGGGGCAGGATTTTTCTTTGTCTCCAAGAAAGATAAATCCCTTAGACCCTGCATAGACTACCGAGGCCTCAATCAGACTACTGTAGAAAATAAATATCCTTTACCTCTATTAGACTCCGTCCACGATCAGCTCCACTCCGCAACCATCTTTACCAAACTTGATCTCCGTAATGCCTACCATGTTGTGCGAATAAAGGAGGGAGATGAGTGGAAGACAGCGTTTAAGACACCTTTAGGTCACTTTGAATATTTAGTCATGCCTTTTGGATTAACTAACGCCCCTGCAGTTTTTCAAGCATTGATCAATGATGTACTCAGAGACTTCCTCAACGTGTGTGTATTTGTATATTTGGACGACATACTCATTTTTCACGTGACATCCAACAACATGAAAGACATGTCAGAGCGGTTCTTCAGACTCCTTGAGAATCAACTCTACGTTAAAGTAGAGAAATGCGAGTTTCATGTCACATCAGTATCCTTTTTAGGATTCATTCTGGAAAAAAGGGTCAGGTTAGAACTGACCCTGAGAAAGTAAGAGCAGTTTCCGAGTGGCCAGTATCTAATGACCGAAAACAATTACAACGTTTTCTTGGTTTTGCCAACTTCCACAGACGATTCATCAAGGACTACAGTCGCATCGCCGCACCTCTCACCCAACTTACCTCCATATCCAAGACCTTCTCCTGGACTCCTGAGGCAAACAGCGCTTTTGGTGAGTTAAAGGCTAGTTTCTCCCAAGCACCCATTTTGTGTCACCCAGAACCACACAACCAATTTTTTGTTGAAGTGGATGCCTCGGACCTAGGAGTTGGGGCAGTGCTATCTCAGAAATCAGAATTTGATGGTAAAATGCATCCCTGTGCCTTTTTCTCCCGTCGTTTATCTCCTGCTGAGATAAATTACGACGTAGGTAACCTATAACTGTTAGCCATTAAACTCGCCTTTGTAAAGAACCCTGCTTTATGAGATTAATACCAGCTTAATCTCATAAAACTCATGTTCCACAAGATCTTGCAGAAATGAAATCAGAATTAATGAAACCTCCCCTCTGGTCATGAATGTGAAAAGAACTTGTCAGATTTCTCAAAATAAAGTAATTTATTTTAGAT